CACTTCAACTGGATCTCGTCTTCCTGATTCCCGAGTCATTGCCGACATGACAGTCATCTTCAAACGACTCACAGCTTACCGTTCTTAGTTTTGAAATGGGAGGTTGAGCGACAAGAGTAAAAGTGGAACTGTGCTTTCACCCAGTCGTAACACAATTCTTGTTTCTTTAAAAAGGTTCATTTCCTGGCATACAGCTCTGCCAGCAGTTACAGTGTATCACCCCTGCAGCTCACAGCAAATCGACTGATGGGTGCTGTACACTGTAGCGCTCTCGGGTTCACGTGGGTATACACCCACGCCGCTGCCGCCTCAGGTCGGCCCCCCCACCGGTAGGGACTCGAACCCGGGCCTCCGGCGTCACTGGAAAACGTGGAAAACGGGGGGTATCAGTTTGTAGAACAGCTTCGAAACCAACACCCTGTATCCCCCCAGACCATGAGACAATATCTATCAAATGAGAAGTCTGATATAGTAATTTAAATTGTAATAAGATACCAATCATGATAGAATTAATATACTTTCTGTATTTAATTATAGAGCTAGCAAGAGATTTATTCAGCCTTTTGCTCAACTTCCATTCAGTCCATGTACGACTTTCGAAAATGCTCATATTTAAAAAGTTTCAGCACTACCTGTGCACTAACACACAGTTCCTGACACACACACAAACCGACACACAGTCCCTGACACACAAACAGACCGACACATACACACAATCCCTGACACACACAGAGACCAAAATATACACACTCACCCTGACCTACAGACCGACACATTCACAGAAACCCTGACACACACACAGATTGACACAAACACATACAATACACACATAGACCCGACACACACATGCAGATACTAACACACACACAGACTCGGAAAACACAAACACACACGGTCCATGTCACACGAGACACACACTGTCCTCGAGACACAACATGCAGGCATTAACACACACGCAGACAGGCAGACACGATATACGTTCAGCCACACCAAGAAAGAAAACCAGGATCCGACTTTGATTTTCTTAGAAAAGGTTTATTGTTCAGTAATGGTGAGGTCTGACAGTCCTGTCTCCAGATCGTTAGACATTCCCCCTCCCGGTCTGACCGTCCCCTGTCCCACCCCCTCCGAGCGCTGCGGACCAGTCCCAGGACAGCGGACAGCGGACAGTGTTGGACCAGGCAAACTGGCCTACAGTACCTCTCAGATCTCTTTGCATGAACTTGGAGGTACTCCACCTCCCCATTTGTTTAAGGAAAAATGCTAAAATCATTTGAAAGTTCTGAAAATGAAAGAAAGTGCTTATAAAGTGCTTTTACTCACGGCCCTGACTTTAAGAAACTATGACTCCTGCAAGGAGAGGAAGAGAAAACAACAGAATCATTTAGCTGCCCAATATGTGTCTGACTGGCACGGCCTGAGGGAGACTCAGGGTGTCGATGTTCTACAGAAGGATGTATAAACACTGTGCTTGTTACTGTCAAAGTAGGCAGGGAGGGAATCTTTTTTAATACAGCATCTGGACAAAAGGAGAGAGGGTTCCATTTTGTCTTAATGGTGCGAGGGGGTATTTTAGTGTTCGTGTTCATCACAGAGCAAAGGATCGTAAGAGGTTTTACAAATGGGTGTAGAACAGCTCTGTATGACAGAACATGTCTTGGTTTCTGTAGTGTTAGACAGGGGACAAAGGATTCTGGCCATGCTGGTATCTACCTATATAGTTGGGTTGACTGTGTGAATACAGCAGAAACGTAAATCAATGAAACGTAACTTTTCATTGAGCTTAGAGTAGCGTCCACAATGAAGACTTGATTTGTAAGGTGTCTGTGTTGCCCCTAAACCCTGATGACTCTTTTTTTTTCCCCTGAATGTGCTCTCTGTTTAATCACAAATGTCTTGGAGCCCTATTCGCTTTCCTAGGGAATACATCTTCTTGTACCCAGCTCAGAATGAGTCTCTTTACACCCCCCTCCACTACATGTCCTTCCCTTCTGTCCTCTGCAGCCTCAATAACTGACAGGCCCAGCCCAGGGTGTGGTGGCAGACTCACTTCCTATAGGGCCTGGTGTCTGCTCCTTTTTCTTTCAGCCCAAGTGCTCAATTAAACAATTAACCTATTTTTTTCTTTGACATACTGTGTATAGAATGTACTTGCTGGGATAGGCTCCACCTCCCCTGTGACCCTGAATGGAATGAGGAGGTTTAAAAATGGATCACTGAAAATACACATTTCACTGAAGTTTCTTCTGCAACACCTCAGAGTAAGGTTACAATCATCTCACACTATCATCTCAGCAACTCACAGCTTGGAGCCCACAGAAGCTCCGCAGGTGTGAGCCTGGTCAGTACCTGGATGAGAGACTCCTGGGAAAGCTGAGGTTGCTGCAGGAAGAGGTGTTAGTGGGACCAGTGGGGGGCGCTCGCCCTGCGGTCTGTGTGGGTCCTAATGCCCCAGTATAGTAATGGGGACACAATAATATAAAAGATGAGACATTAAATGACTATCTGTGGTCATTAAATCTCCCAGGGTGTTTCTCAAAAAGAGTAGGAGTGGTACCCTCGTGTCCTGGCCAAATTTTCCCTTGCTTTACCAATCATGGCCTCCTATTGTCCCCATCTGTGAACTGGCTTCGTCACTCTGCTCTCCTCCCCACCGAGAGCTGGTGTGTGGGGAGTGTACTGATGCATTATGGCTGCTGTGACATCATCCAGGTGGGGTGGTGGAGGGGAGCCCCCATTACCTGTAAAGTGCTTTGAGTGGAGTGTCCAGAATAGCGCTATTTAAGTGTAAGGAATTATTGCTGCAGTTAATTAAAAAAAATTGAATTTGTGTGATTAAATAATCAGTTAAATAACTATGTAACCAAGAGCTCAGACCAGAAGACACCGGGCCATTCTGAAAGGGGGATGGCATCACCAATGGGGTGCCATGCTCCCTCTCTACATTATCCAGATCATGAGGCCTCAGTGAGGTGTGACCCCCAAAAGTGAGGGACTTTCTAGAGCACTTCCCAGCCTTCAAGCCACACCGTGCCTCCTCTGACAACAGCGAACTCCCCTACAGGAGAAGTCTGGTGTCCTGTTGTGGCGAAATTGTCACTGGCCAGTTTCCTCCCTTGCAAGCACTCGCTATATTTTTACTAATGTAGTAAACCACAATGAAACCACAGTAACAGTTGGTGTTAAATATAGGGGAAAATATGGCAAAAGAGCTCAATTACCATCCAATGTTACCACAGTAAAGTGTAATAAAAATAGTTGCACAGCTTGCTACAGGTCTTCACAGAACTCTAGTCCCAATCCACAGAAGATGAACTGTTTCACTTATCTCTCAGTTGAGCTGTGTTGTCAAACTTGGGCACTGCGAGTTTAATAAACACAGGCAATTTTCCCACTTCATTGAAATTGCTCTAACACCAGTCTACTTCTTTTAATTTTAGACCAAAATGGGAACTCTTGCCTTTACTCATTCCTTTAATTAAATAATGCCATCGGCCTGACCCTGAGCCACCATAATTAAAGATCCAGTCGGACACACCAGTGCCTGAAAATCCCAGGAAGAGCTGAGATGCTCCTGGCCATTTAAAGCCAGAATAATGCTGACAGTACAGTATGTATACAGGCCAACCACCTGATCTATCGATCAAGCAAGAAGTGCTCGGCTTGTACCAAGTTCCCAGATAATCTCGATGAGATGCTATACAGGGGTGGATCCATCCAGTATCCCAGCTTGTTGGGTTTACAGAGAAAACAAGACGATGAACTCGTAAAACAAACCACGTTTACATCGTTCAGGACTCTAACGTAAGAGAGGGTATGGGAAATTCAAACATGTCTGACTTTGCCTCAACTTATTTTGTTGTTGTTTTTCATTAAAAAAGTACTGGAAAGTCCCTCACAAATAAGGAGGCCCTGCATATGCCTGAACGGAAATCAGTATTTCCTATAAGGAAAAGGCAGAGGGACTGCTGTATTCTTCTGTTCTGGGCTCAGAGCGTGGCCAGAGCGCCTGTCCTGGAGGAGGAGGAGGAGGAGAAGAGGAGAGAGGAGGTCTTGGCAGCGGACGGGAGGGGTCTGCGTGGGAGCAGGACACTCTTCAGCGGGTGGGATCTCACACACACCTCCACACACCACTGCAGAACTAGAGCTGCAAATTAATTAGCACAACCTCATTAATCTCTTATCCGCCCCTCCATCTGGCTCACCACCATTAAGAGTCTCTCCTAAGCTCTCCCTCTATCTCCCTACCTCCTCTCCCCATTCACCTTCTCTTTGTTCCCCAATGACTCCCCCTCCTTACCTGTGGGCTCCTAGGGGATCTCTGTGTTGTACATCATCTTGGTCCTGATTGGCTTTCTCCAAGGGGGACAAAGCCCTGATTGGTTCCCTCAGTGTGTCATGTGACCATTGTTACAGCAGGCACAGATGACTAGAGCTGGTATTATTGCTACTGAGCAAGTGCATCCTTGCCTTTTCGGGGGGCGGTGGGAGGTGGGAGGAGCTTTGACACTGACTGTTTCTGGTTGCCACGGTGATTCTTCAGTACAGTGTCCCGGAAGGAAAGTGCTCCATAAATATTACTCTGTGTTGTCATTCAGCAGGGTGGAGAAGCCACTACTGAAGCAGTCTTTGGTGGGAAACGGGTGGGTAAGGAGCTAATGGCTGTTCAGGCTGTGCACCTGTGAGTCTGTTCTGGTTGCGAAGAGTCTCTATCTCTGTGTTCCCTGCCGACTCAAGGCCAGTCTGAATGCGAGGGAAAGCTGTTGTTCACTTCAAGCCCAGCGAAGGAGCAGTCATTTGTTGCACCAGACTGCTGTGACAGAGAGCTAACAGTCTCAGTTTTATTTGGGGAGGTGAACTACTCTCACTGGTGATTTAGGTGGCGGAACACGAATGGTATTTGGCTGGAATGTGAAGCAGTAAGCAATGAAGATTTTGACACAGTTACAGTATGTAATGGTTAGGTCAGAAAACTGGAATGTCACCGGACTGGTTCCCGAGTCTGAAGCAGGGAAACACCGATTAAAATCTTTACAGACATTAACAATTGACTGACAGAGTGTATCAGTGGAGAGATATGAAACTCCTGGTGCAGAGCAGTCTAAATCACACCACCCCATATGGACAAACACACAGGCTGACTGTGAGCTAGATTTGTAAAAAGTAAATTGTCTGTTGCCCTGTAGCTAATGCAGCTCATGCTCAATCAGTACAGCAAATCCTAGATTGTCTCACACTGGTTCACCTGAAGGGTGTATGGATGCTGAGCTGTGATGTGATAAGACACAATGTCTGGTTGCTACTGGTTGGTAGTATATAAGGTACATATATATTGCATAAGAATCCAAATCTGTGTCCAATCAAATGGGCTCAGAGCCCTGGAACTCCAAAAAACAGGCAACATCAGAAAAGATGTGAATGTGAAACTTAAAATGTTTCTTATTGAATGTGTTTTTGCATAATGGCTTGGAAATGTTACGTATTGCTTGTATGTACTTTGCTTTTAAATTTTGTGCAGTGCTCCGAGATAGATATATTTAAGAACATATCTTTATTTTCTGTTGTATTTTAAATCAGATTGTGACAGTGATGTGTGTTGTGACTGGACAGGAGATGGAGTTTGCAGGAGTAACTATAGTTTCTTCTCCACTTAATTTCCTAGGTGGCTCATTTTGTGAAAGAACTTCATAAACTAAATTCCTAAATCACTTCTTCTGAGTAACATTTTGGTTAGCTGCCATGAGCAAGGAAGCACAAAGGCTTCTGCTGGAAAGGATGTAAAAGGTTTGTTTGTCTCTGAGTGACCCCTGCATGCTCCTGAGTGCCTGTGCTTACTGGATGAGAGTGACTGAAGTACATTCACCATGCTGTGTCTGACTCTGTAATTAAGTAAAGATAAGTCCGCGTATCTGTGTATGTGTTCAACTCACTAGGCTACCTGTCAGTCTTTGGGGTTGGAAGTGCACAGAGTTTAGTTATTCAAAAACCATCCTTTAAAATTAGCTGGGGCCAGAGCCTAGGGTTGCTGCGTTGTCTGTGAGACTTCAGTCCATTGACCAGCACTGTTGAAAGTTCTCTTCCTTTTTAGGCAGAGCTTTAAAAATAAATGTTAAATGCAACTCTGCAGAACTGCTTGTTTTCTGGTGTGTATCACACTCAGGGGGCCTGTTTATTCTGTACAGCTGAGATGGATCATTCTCTGTGCTGGAGCTGTGCAGTGGGTGGGGAGTACAGTGCTGTCAGCACCAGGTGACAGTTTGGATTTAGTAGATGGACAAGAACTTGAGAACTTTAGAAAACGTGAGAAGATCGGGACGAGAGCAGATCCTTTAGTCCATCACAGTTCATCATTCGTGCCGATACAACGAGCGATTCTTCACATTTCTCCACAAGTGGAAAGGATGTGGAAGTGCATTAGGACAAAAGGAGGCATGTCTTTACACAAACGTTTGTGGGAGTATGGAATAAGATACCCAGCCATGTTGCTGAAGCCGATACCCTGTCTCCTTTTCAAGAAACAGCTGGATGAGATCCTTGAATCAATTTGCTACTAACTACGAAAGAGGATTGATGGGCTTAATGATCTCCTCTGGTTTCGAACCATATTTGATGTTCTTAGAGAAATCAGACGTGCAGAATTCAGTCACATCCTTTACCCTGGCCAAGACCATCTCTCCTCTGTCTGTGCTCAAGGGGATGGTTGATCAAGGAAGTGACCTGTGGATTGCTGTGCTCCTCCAGTGATGACGGGTGACCCGGACCTCTGTCTCTATTTCCTCTCAGCACAGCGAGGGACAGCGGGATTGTGCATCGGAACGGCGCAGTGGATGAGTGCTGGCGAGTACATTTTCCCCTCAGTACTCCCCCGCGGTGATGAGCTCCCCCGTCCTCTCTCCCAGCCTGTCTCTCCTCTCCCCGCCCAGTGCCGTCTCTTCTTCCTCGTACAGCGTGTGGTGGATGTTAAGCAGCGGGTGGGTGGGGTTCCGGCTGAACGCCGGGCCCTGGCCCTCCGGGGCTGGCTGGCTGAGCGGGTCGGGGGGGCAGGCTGTGCTGGGAAGGCTCGTGGTGCTGCCGCTCAGGTAGGCTGCGCTGGGCAGAGTCACTGCAGAGAACTTTGGCTCTGTCAGAGGCTCCTTCTTCTCTGTAGAGACACCAGGAGGAGATGAGAACTGCAGAGGTCACGCCGGAGAGTAGGTTAAAGAAAGACAATTCTGCTGACCCTGTGACCAGGCGCTCAAGGGTAATTTTAAACCTTCTGATCCTAATACAGAAAAAAATGACAGAGACCACTGTAGCTGCAGCTAAGTGAGCTCCACCCTTTGTTTTGTGTATGTACTGTGATGCCATGAGGGGCAGTGTCCTAGAGGGGCGTTACTTTCCCCAAGGACTCTTAGATTTTTTTAAGCTTTCTACCTACAGTACCTAAGATGGTGGACCGGACATGCAGGTCACCAGAGACTGGATGCCGGCAATCACTGGAGCAGGGACAGCTGTGCACCCTGCTCCAGTCCACATAAATAGAGTACCAAACCAGGAACAGGAAGGATCAGAGACTAATGTGAGAGGAAGTCGGAGCAAGAGCGACTCAAGACCTCACATCAGCCTCTGCCCCTGCAGAGGCTGATTCACTACAGAGCCAGTCTCCAGAGTGAAGATTCCAGCTATACAAGCTTCAATTCCTTCATCTGGACTGAAGAACACAGTGCAAACTGTCTAAGTCTTAAAGCTGTTTTACAAGCCTCCGGGCTGAAGAATGGCTGAGCTGTCACTGCAACAGCCACCTTAACATAGCGCAGGCTGTTTATTTTCACATACAACCAAGGAACTGTGACCCAGCCCAGCTCCCTCAGCAGTCTCTGAGCTGAAGACCAGTGTACAATTAGTACATCAGCCACATACTTACAGTGTAGGCTGCTGGCTGACCAGCAAGGCCACAGGGCTAACATCATAGTGCCACGGATACCTACACCTGCATCAACAACTGTCTTGGCCACTCTGGAGAGCACATTGAGTACCCCTATTGCTGTGCTGGATAAGAGCTGGAATTGTATATAATTCCAGTCGATAAAGAACAGGTTGACTTTAAAACCACTCTTTAATCGGGGTCCCACCAAGAACCTGTGCCCCTGTTGTGAGCCACCCCATGTGGCATCACGGTATATATTCTGACAAATTGCAGTAAAAATGAGAAATCAAGCTTTTCATTTTCAGCGCCTGTAGAGGTCAGAGGGCACAACACCAAAACAAGCTCAAACAAGGTTTTGTGAGCAGACACATACAGTAAGTAGCTGCAGCAGCAGCCAACTGTGATATTTCTATATAAGGACTAATATAAAAAAATTTCATCAAGCCATTCCCTTATCTGACTCTGTACTGACCCTCTAAGGGTTGTTCTCTCTATACCTGAGATTTCTGTACTACTGATGTCTCAGTCTCTTGTGATCTCTGTAGAGCTGATGTATTGTGCCCATGATCTACATGGACATGATACACCTGTTATTATCTTTACCTGTGATAGCAGCAGAGACATGGACAATGGTGTGTGTGCCCTCAATGAACACTCCCTCTTGTGTGCAGGTGGGAGGCAGCTGCTGATTGCTGGGCGCCTCGGCCTTGGGCTTACGGATGGTCAACATGTAGGGGTGCACGTCCAGGGAGAGGTTCCGTGTGGTCTTTTTGTCCACACTGCCTCCACTGAGCTCTCCTGTCAATACACATACAGTACCAGGACCGACAATAGAAAGCAAGCATAGGCCATTATGTCTGAACAGATCATTGATTCCTCTCTTCCTTACTAAAGTTCATCAGATCGGTCAATTCAGTAATTAAGGATTGATTAAGTGAACAAAAGTAGAACATACTGGAAATGTTACACTGACTGGGTTACAAAAAGCCCAGCTCTCAGGATAAACACTGCACCTATATACCCCATGATATAAATAACATTAAATTACTGGGTAAAATTCCATAAGTATCTTGAAAGAAGTACATGAAAGGAAATATGTCCAGACACACCACTAAAACTAGTTTCAACACCCACAGGCACAAAAAGCTTAGTATTAATGAGCAATGTTCAGTCTCCCTCTCTCCCTCCCCTGGGGGACAGATGCCTCCTGAAAGACAGATCAGGTGACAGAATGATGACCAGTGTGACTCAGTACCTTTGCCAGCAGGAGGCTGCTGCGTGCTCTTCGAGGAGTCCAGCAGGGGCGCGATCAGGCTGTCCGTCACGGTCTTCCGTCGCACCGGCTTGGGCTTCTCGGGCTTGTTGCTGTTCTCCACCCGCATCAGCGTCAGCGGCTCCTTGAAGGGCTGGGGGAGCGGGTTCGAACTGGGGATCCATTTCATCTTCTTGCGTGGGCGCTTGATGACCAAGGGCTCTCCACCAAGCTCACCCACGCCTAGCATGGCTGGGTCAGCACTGGGGTCCAGCGTCTGGATGCCCGAGTCGCGCAAGGTCGGCGTGGCGTCGTGGTTGGACTGCGCCAGCGCGGCCAGGAGCTGCCGCACGACGTTGTCGTACATGAGGTCGCTCTCGTTGGTGATGAAGTCCAGCCGGTTCAGGGACTTGATGTGGTCGCGGTTCTCGTTGCAGAACATGGCCAGGATGTTGATGTCGCAGAACTGGGACTTCTGCCACTGCCTCTTGGTCTTGATGCCCACCTTGTGCAGCTTGTCGAAGACGAAGTTGGACTTCCGCACGATGAAGAGGTGAATGAGGTTGACCAAGATCACCAGGTTAATGAAACACAGCAGCGTGATGTCCACAGCCGCCATGATGCGCTGGAGCTGCACGGCGGGCAGCTTGCAGTTCACGTTGAGCCGCAGCTCAGGAGCACTGCTGGCATCTGGGGGCTCGCCCAGCGCACAGGTGAACTCGTTCTGCCTCTGCGTGGCATAGTAGGTGCTCAGGTAGGAGATGGGGATAGAGCTGAGGCAGATGATGACCAGGTGGCGGGCCAAGTACAGCTTGGCCAGGAAGTTGCTCTGCCCCCGCCGCTCCAGATACTTCTCGAACAGGTTCTGCTCGGGGCTCTTCTCCTTCTCCGCGTTCTCGATGATCTCCCGCCTCTCCCGCTCCGTGATCCCGGGGCCCTTCGACTGGATCTGCTTCTCGATCTTCGGCGCCCGCCCCTCGGCGGCGCGGTGGTAGCAGTTGTCGATCTCGTGCAGGAGGAAGTTGAGCTCGGAGGTGAGGCGCGTCGAGGCCAGGAACTCCCACCCCAGGGCGGGGATGTACATGATGCCCGCAAAGGCCAGCAGGGCGTAGGGCAGGAACTTGTGCTCAAACAGCGAGGGCCGCAGGGCGGCCTCCACCCCTGGCACCGCGTCGCGCAGCTCTGTCCAGCAGTAGCCCCGTGCGTACAGTGCCTGGTCACGAGTGAAGTTGTGTGGCGTGTAACAGTATATCGACTCCTCTGTCCAAGAGGGAGAGAAACAGTACATTTCAAAGCGTTTTCACTCCAAAGTGGAATCTGGTCCCTGTTATCAGAAAGCAGTGACACAGGGAGTCTTTGAAGGCACAAAAAGCAGGCAATACATGAAGAAAGGGGAAGTGTATTTACATTTTTTGTCTCTTAAACAGTTTGGAAAAATTCGTTCGGACAATATATTGAATTTGGAAAAGTAGGGAAAATCCTGCAATTTTCAAATTCCCAATTATAACTGTATTATATTATAACTCTCTACCTCATAACAAGAACTGCCTGATGTCTACCATTGTGTCAGATTTTTAGGTGATCTGGTCTTCATTTTTATGCTGGTGACGCTCCACATAATATTTTCAAGTTGATATAAATCAACCACGACCTGCCTTGCAACACTGTTCAGATGATGTTCTAAACGGATACAACAAAATCCTGCACATATGAAATCTGACAAGACCAATACTATGTTGATTGGCCTCTCTTTGTCAATTCTGCAACTGTTTCAACTTCAAATCAGCCCAACTGCTCTGGTCAGGAACCCCGGTGTTGTCTTTGACAATCATGCTCACAGTGTAGATTAGGTGGCATTCTTTTGAACATGGCTGGTATGCAGTCACATCTCTCCCAAGCTGCTGCAGAGAAACTACTGCTTGAGCCTGTTCCAGGTTTGATCGTTGTGATGCAACGCTCACTACTGTATCGGAATATTTTCTGAACAAAGTGCAATATTTCTGAAAACTAGATCTTAACTAACTCACTACAATTCTTCTTCTAGCTGCCATGAGTGCAGGCTGGCGAATGATTGTGAGTTTCTTGGTACCCAGGATTTGCTGTACATAATTTTGGGATACAACAAGTGTCTACAGAGGACGTTATTCACTGTACTCAAGTGAAATGGTGAGCTTGTTTGCAATGACAGAGGTTTGACACATCTGTTTTCCCTAACTGTGTCACTGGGTGTTGCTTTAAGATTAAGCACTCAGCGCTCCAGCTATTCAGACCCACTGGAGTAACTCCCTTTACTGTGGGAGACCTTGTTACTGTTACCCTCCCCGCGCGGTGCTAAAGTGGGGCATGTCACAGCTGCAGTGGCCAATTACAAAACCAATTCCTAAGGCTCTGGCGCTCCACTGAATCACAGTCAGATCCATATTGTCCAAATGGAGAACGTTTGAGACACTAGTGAATCCTCCAAGAGCATGGTGTGATATGGTGTGTCTTAGAACTCACAAAGACCTCTAGAACAACATCAAGGGATCTGCAGGCCTCTCTCGCCTCAGCTAAGGTCAGCGTTCAGGACTCCACCATCAGAAAAAGCACAGCAGCACTGAGTACTAAGTACTGGAAACCACTGAGTACTAAGAAGAACATGGGTATTCGCCTCAGGGTTGCCAAAATGCACATGACTAATCCTCAAGAGTTCTGGAACATCGTTCTATGGACAGATGAGTCACAATGTAGAGTTTTGGAATGGCCCAGTCAAAGTACAGACCAAAACCCCGTTGAGATGTTGTGAGAGATCCTGAAAAAAGCGGTTCATGCTTGAAAACCTACAAATGTCATGGAGCTGAAGCAGTTCAGCATGGAGGAGTGGTCCAGAATTCCTCCACAGCACTGTGAGAGACTGATCAATAACCAGGCCAGGAAACGCCTGGTTGCAGTTATTGATGCTAAAGGTGGCGTAACCAGTTATCGAGTCCAAGGGAGCAATTACTTTTTCACATGGGACATTGGATGTTGCATAACTTTCTTTAATAAATAAATGAAATTAGTATAAAACTTCTTTTTTTTCTGTCCCTGACACCTGGGGGGTGGCGCTGGATGTAAAAGTTACCTCACTGATATGTGCTGCTCTAGAATATATTTTTGGCCAAAGTTTAACAGAACTTAAATTGCTGCCTTGGAGATTCCTTCTCTCAATGGAAAGTCTGATGCGATTCAAATACTCAGAATCAGAGTGCTGTACATGTCAGCTCAACCCAGGCACTGCTTGTAGCAAGGGGTGAGGGTTACAAGAATCAGATGAAAACAGGGGCCCTCTGATGGGCTCACCTGGAGAAGGCACCCACCTGATTGCAGGTGCCTGAGTTCAAGCCTGGGTCATGTCACCAGCCATCTGTGACTGGGATTAAAGGGGCTCCCCCAAATATTTCTGACATTTATTATGAAAACAAAACAACATAGTGACGCAGTCTTTAACATTGCTGCCTCGTAGCGCTGGAGGGTTCAGCTCCTGCAGTGCTATCTGCGGGGAGTTTGCATGTTCTCCCTATGTTTTGGGGGGGTTTCCTCCAGGTGCTCCAGTTTCCTCCCACAGTCCAA